GTAGTAGTAGTAAGATAAGTTTATTTTAAAGCGGTGCTTTAGCATCTAAGGCCATTTACACCTCTAAAGAAGGTAGTAGTAGTAATATATTTACATGGAAATTAAGGTTACATCAGTAAGAATACAAAAGGGTTGAGGAGAAAGGTTAAATTTTGAGTTTAGTGGAGCGCATAAATTCAAAAAGTTTTACAGGATGAGTATTCAGAAGTAAATTTTTAAGAGAGGGTAAGGGGCAGGGAAAAAAACGTTTTCGGATTTCTTTATAAAGTGGGCAACTTATAAGTAGTAGTAGTAAAATATAAGAACGTGTAAAAAGGAAAGAAAGAAAGTAGTAGTAAAATAATTTTATTTTAAAGCGGTGCTTTAGCATCTAAGGCCATTTACACCTCTAAAGAGGAAAGATAGAAATAAAGAAGGAAGAAAAGACTCGTGGATTTCATGATTATTCATGAAAAAATTTACTCAAACTGCATATTTCGAAAATTTTCTGGGGGAAACAACCCGGACCCCCTTTACCCCTCCCCCTCTCCCCCGTTCGAAGTGTCTGGATCCGCTTATGATTGTGAGAAGGTTAAAAATTTTAAAATTGAAAAAGTAATACACATGCACTAAAAAAATGAAAAATGTGTCGATTCGGTTTCGGCACTCAGAGATGCACGACCTAATAGAGCCTTCAACCGGCGGCGTATGCTTCACGCACAACACTCGTGCACGTAGAATTGTATCGGGATGAGGAGTTATATTCATACATAGTCCCTCCTTTAACAGCTCCTTCCCTCAGGAAAGCCGCGTTTGGCTTGCATTGTGTTTGAGAGAGGTCTTTAGGAAAGTCTAAAAAAGCATCATAAAAACGACCAGCATTTCTGCAAACCTCGAGTAAAATTCAACAATATGACTCCAGCAATGTTTTCTTGCAAAGGATTTAGATAATTTGGGATTACGAAAAAATTGAAGTATAAAGAGGAAACAAATGTGGAGTTCGAAAACTCTAAGGTAGGTTTGGCCCTCCGACCTATCTTAAAGTTTGTCAAAATCATAGAATTACATCGATTATATTTTGTAATTTTTGTAGCGATAAATCGTATGCATACGATCCATAGTGATTATGCAACCGCACGGATGCGTATAATGCATTTCGAATTTTTCCGAAGATGTGCGGATTCTCCGGTACAATTGACAACGCTTCCTGCGCCTGTGCGGAGTTTTTCTCCTTTTCAATATTTGCGTAGACAGCTTAGCGAAGTCAAAAGGAGCTTTGTGAGCAGCGGCGTTTCCGGGGAGGGGTGTGAAGCGCGCCCTTCATTCGAGAGTTTTGACCTTGAAAATTTTCAAGCTTCCCTTTCCCTCGAGAGAGTTCAGGCAGGTGATTTTCAACTTTGCTCGAATCTGTTGCCAAATTTATTTTATCACTTTCCCTTTGCCCCTTCACTCACGAACTTGCCAATATAATGGGTCGTGCCTATTCATTTAAGGGAGGTTTTATAGAGAACGTTCTAAGAATGGAACCTTTTCAAAACGCCTTCAATTTTTCATGATACCGCTCGACCATCGCTCGAGTTGAAATAGTTGTATCCTTGCGCCTGCCGACAATCTCGCGTTTACCCACCAGCACAAATGATTTACGATTCAACGCGTGTTTTAAAGATGAAGTTGCATACAGATTTTTGTAACAGAATAATTGTGCCGATTTTCCTCTGCTGAATTCGATCTAATTATATACTGCTGATTGATTAACACTGAAATTCCTCAGTTGAAAGACCTAGATCGACAAAGTAGATTGACAAGCTGTCGATCGAGTTTCAATAAATGCTTACAGAGAGCAATGCCCCTACAATTGTGCAAATAGACAAGAATAGGAACTCTGGCGTTAAAATAGTTGCATACCTCATTGATCTTAGAGTCCCTCGTCCCCTGAGTATTGAGCGATTCTGGGGTAAACTATGAGAACGAATTCTCGTTCGCGACTTTGAACACTTTCAGTTTATCAACTGTGCTCCTCTGTCTGAAAATTTAGTGACATGATACTTTCCCTCAAAGCTAAGTATCCATGCTAATGCCCATTTTACACTAGAGGAGGGTTTTACTCCTTCAACATTCAGAGTGTTTAAAAACAACTCTTTGCAGTTATTCAAAGTCACTTGCTAATAATTTAAAATCTCTTGGCGATTATACATAGGAAAATAAAAACAGAGGATGGAGTTAAATTAACATGTGTTGTTCAATACCCCGGATGACGTCGGGTTAGCATCTTTTTTTTCGGTGTGAGGTGGAAATGTTTTCTATTGTAATATTCCATAACCAAAGTACGTATCTGGGCATCACAGAGATCGCAGACCTCGAAGAGAATGAAATATTAAGGATGAATTTAAAAGGCGGAAGGTATAAGAAGTCTGATAAGGAGCCACGAGATTTTTGATACCACTTCGTTGAAATGATTAGCGATAAAATTTGGTAGAGAAGAACATAAAAGTAGAAACATATAAAAAAAGAAGAAAAAATTATCATCGACGGTAATCGAGCTCATAAGAACTGATTGAGGTGTATGCACAAGACAGGCGATCACTCCATGCAAAGTGTTTGCGAACTTGCCAGATTATTGGCTGTTCTAATTTCTTCGGAAAAAATACCGCTAAAAATTGTGATTTTGGCCGCACAACATGTCACATCTATCTCCGACGTTGACAAATTGTACATATACTATATCGCTCTATATTGAAAAAAAAAATCATGATAGAACTCCTGCCTTCTAGCAATCTGCTATCAAGGGAGCAAAAGTCTTGTTTGAAATAGTAAAGCCTGGAGCATCGTGCCTAAAATGAGTCTGATAAAGAAGGTCAGCGTTGACAAATTGTGCGACGAAACGTAGATATTTTATATGAGTTTATATGGTGAATATCGCTAATTTTTCAGCATTATCTGGCAAGAGTGGGGTCCGGTATCCGCGCTCTAAAACGGGTGGATATGGGGGTTATTCCACCGTGTTAATCTTATCCATTGTCATTTTTTAATTGTCCAAGTATAAATATGCGTAGAACTGATAGCGGAAAAGATACATGGCCGAAACGATAAAATTGAGGAAGACGTTATGTAATATCTAAATTTTTACTGAAAATGAGTCTCTAATGGGGTACTTTGGGGGTCTTTAAGGTACTTTTGGCAAGGTACTTTACTAAGGTACTCTACTTACTTTGGGTGAGGTCACAACTAACCCGGTAGTTACATCAACGAGCATGGATGTTGATGTAACTACCAGGTTAGTTGTGACCTCCACCGCGGTAGTTATCGTAACTACCGCACGGTAGCTAGCGCATATATAACAAGCCGCTGGTTGTGTCGACTACCCTATTTTTCCGTGATTCTAACTCAAGTTTCACGCGGAGAATCGTCTTTGTTTGATCGCTAAACTGCGACTGAAAATTCTAACTCTCAAAGTTACTTCAAAGTTGAAATATCCACTCGCTAAATCATTCCAACTTTTCTCGTGCAATTAGCATCGAGCGTGGAATCATAATCCGTAGCTACACCTTCCACTTGACTCGCAAGACAAGCACGTTGCCAAGGAGCTGAGGGTAGGTACTGGCTTCGTGTAGTAGCCGCAGAAAAATGGCTTTCCACATCCTCTTGAAATTGTCGAGTTCTTTTCGAAATTTTATAGTCAAGATAGAACCTGAAATCTTCAACAATAAGTGTTCGATTATTTGGACTGAGTTAAGCAGAAAGGAACCAACCCACATTTTGGGAAAAATTGAGTTTCGAGTGGTTTTGAACTCAACCACTGCTCTACTATCTATCGCCAAAAATTCAAAGTTTTTGTTGGAGCAAATTTTACAGAGATTGAACTTGAAGCTTATCTTTTACATTGAGTCTTATGCAGGAGCCAAACTTTAAACCTCTTTTTCTCGGTTCGATCCCGATGTGGCTTGGTTCCTTTCTGTTTAGCTCCGTCCATTTGAGTCTGCGGTTCCGAGTGATTTCATTCACGTGTCTTCATTTTAAGGCTCGCGTATTGTTTTGATCAGAGTGTTTACAAAACATTCTCATTACTTCTTCATTTATTTATTTGCGACTAGGAGCGACTCGTGCAAATTAATCTAGGTGCAATGAGGAAAAAAACTGAAAATTTAAAGTTTGGGGGANGGGAGGTGAGTTTTAATACAATCAGACGAGACGAAAAAACGAAAAGGTACTTAAAAATTTCACCTAAATCATGTCATCCCTGAAGGAAGAGAGAGGGGGGGGGGAGGGAGAAAAAATATTCTGGAATTGTAAGTGGAAAAAAAGTTATGGATAACGTCATTGAGGTGCATTCACTTAAAACCTCATGAAATTGTGGAACATATCATATCATTTCACACGGTCAAACAACCCTGCTCGTATTACAACCATGCATGCAAGTAAAAATATCAGCACGCTTTCCTCCAGATACTTACACATGTTCCCTCCCTTTTGGTGACCAACAGTGTTCGAAACTCACCTTTGAGTTTTAGGAGCCATGTGGCGCATCAAGCCCGATTTTTAGGCGCCATTTAAAATTTTTTAGGGGCCAAATTGACTTTTTGCCCTTATATTACGGCGCATTTAGTGAAAAGTTAGACGCAATATGTTTTCGTAACAGAACTTGCAAGTAGTTGTAACTTGGGGAAGACAAAAGCATTAAAGATGAAATCGTGAAGAATAGAAAAAGCCTTCACTTGTAGTTCTGAAAATTTAGAATAATCACCTAATAGGAAAATTCAGATTTTAAAGGGAGCAATTTTTGGGGGCCACGTTGGCGCAGAGCCTTCATTTCTTAGGTGCATTTATGGCGCGTTGGCGCCTGTGAGTTTCGAATACTGGTGACCAATCACTTTTCTCGACAATGATCTACACAAAAATCCAGTGGATTTTTGCTCTGTCCTCTGAATTTCCTGAAAAACTGTCCAAACAAACATTAATGTAACATTTGTACAAAAATGATTGAAAAATGATGTTAACCAAGTATTCATTCTCTTTTGTTGCAGATGGCATCATCTAGGATAGCTATATTGTTGGTTTTCACTGTATCCAGCATCCACGCAGCAATCATCCCCAGTGTGCCAGAGTACTTAGAACAGGTAAAACTCATAACTTTGTTCTCAAAAAAAATATTCTTCCGGAATATAGACGTTCACAGCCTGCAACGTTAATAAAACTTCATAGATACTTGCTTAAAATCTGATTTGATTTGATTCATTAAGTTTTTATTAGCTCGGCATTGTTGAATTTACTTTATGAAGCTCTTCGCGTAGTGATCATTTGAATTTACACTGGATAAAAATGTCTTGATTTAAGTACAAATAACATTGAAATTGCCGCCAAGAAGAAAACTTCCGTAAATCAAGTAGAAGAGGTATACTTATATAACAGGGTGGAGAAATGGTGCTGGGTCCACACCATTTCGCGAGTAAAAAAGGCCAAGAAATTCCAAAAATTAAAATTAGAGTCAAAATTAAATTTCTGAACTCTAATGCGCACCAGTACGAGACTGAGGAGGGTGAGTTCCAATGCAAACTGCCTGAGCTGAACACTCTCCCCCTCAGTTTCGTACTGGTGCGCATTAGAGTTCGAAACTTTAATTTTGACTCTAATTTTAATTTTTGGAATTTCTTGGGCTTGTTTCCCCGCGAAATTGTGTGGACCCAGCACCATTTATCCACCTTGTTACATGCAATTCGGGCCACTTCTGAGTGGTTTTTTTTTTATTTTTTATTTTTTATTTTTTTTGTTCATTTGGTATACTTATATCAAGGAGACAAGGAGAAATCTGTTCGATTCAAGGAATTTTATCTCTGCTTCAAGAGGAAATCTTTTTGATGGCCACACCGAAAAAAAGTGAAGTTATTTCAACATTCTGGATGTAAAAAAAGTGTGCGAGAACTTACAAAATGCTGAATTACCCGCTAGAACCGTCGCTTTAGTGATGCCAATATGTAAATCTAACAGCTGTGGCGGATAATTCAGCGTTTTATAAGTTCTCACACAATGTTTTTACAGTTAGGATGTTAAATCAAATCCCCCTTTTTTTCAAAGCATAGTTCAATTGATTTTTTTTTCTCCTTGAAAAGTTAAGCAAAAAATATTTATTCCTTTTTTTCCATCCGTGTAAATCCGCAAGTGATAGTTATTATTTGATGATGCTTGTAATTCAGCGAAATATTGCTCTCGTTTTACAATATGTTGCAATTTCCGCTCGATCATTCACATCCTCTTTTTTTTCGGATCAAAAAAGGCTTTCCGCCGACACCTGTTGATAAGAACGTATCGCAGGTTCATATCCTGACCTCATTCGATTCAAAGAAGGGGCATCTATCGTGTTGTGCTATTTAAACATCTCTTTGTCACCGGTGTTAAGATGCGATCAAGCCCACAAATTCAATGAATGTGTTTTACTCGACAAGCTTTGAAATCATCATGCGGCTTTGTGACAAGTGCAATTGAATTGGTCATTCTCTAAAGACTCAAGCACTTTGGAAATTGAATCGTTGACAATTGGGCCGAGTTTAAAGGAACGGGATGCATCACGTCGCGTTCTAGAAATGATGAGTCGGGGGTAATTTTGAATTCAACCAATTTTAAATTTTCTTCCGTCAAATATCTGAAGTTGAAAAAATGTTTCCTACGTGAAAATTGTCGTTAACCTTCTTCTTTGCCATTGAGTTCTTAGGGAGGAATAAAAATTCAAACTTCGTTTTCCCCTCCTTCTTTTTTTCAAATTTTAAATGTAGAGCCTCTGAAATAAATACGATCAGATTATAAATTTGGCACTCGCAATAGATGAATTTGAAGAACAGTCGAAGCTGTTACTTAATTTTGAAAATTTATATTGAAAAACTCACACTTATTTTGTGCCAAAACAATAACATTTAGTGGAAACAATGTATCAATATAAATTTAATCCAGTATTTTTAATAATTTTGAAATACATTTTTGATAGCTTAATATAATTTTTCCTAATTAAGATTATAGAGTACGCTAATGGCATATTGATTGTTCTGAGCTTTGAGATTCAGAACAAGTCGATTGAAAAAGTTTTACCTTTTTTTACCATATGTTCATTGGCGCTTGAGAATTTTTAAAAATGACCAATTTTAGTGACCTATTGGAAACTTTAAAAAAGCCAAATTCTAAAGTACAAAAATCCAAGGAAAAAATTAGCTAAGCGGTGATAATAAAAATACTGAACGGTAGAAAAACCTTCGACACGTTACCGCTTGATAACATTTTCACACGTTTCTATCAATCCGAACATTGAACCAAATGAATCAAAGTTCACAGGGGTTTGAGCTACGTTAACAGAAACTGGGTTTTTCAGAACATAAAATATTATCGATCAATAGTCCAGCGTTATCGGATTTCATGAAAAAAATGCCGGATTTTCTATGATACCTGCAGGAAACACGTGGATAATTATTTCCCAACGGCAACGCTGTCTGCCGCATAATTAGCCTGGAGATAAAGGCCTTTAATCAGGCCATGTTTCGGGTATTTCAGTATTGAATTGGAGGCGTGCGTGGCATAGACGACCCCTATTCAAAAGGGAAATGAATCCCATTTTATCCTGTTTTGAAATATTGTATTTATAACCGGGTTTTAAAGTCACATAAGGCCGGGGGATAGAAACCATCACTTTGATGAGGAGCGTGCCTTACGCGTAGTACCGAGTAAACACACTAGTGGTGTGGCGCGCTTTGCGATATATCGATTGATCGACCGTTTAAACCATGGAAAAGTATCGGTAAACAGGGTGTTCGCAGCGAACACCTTCATAATCGATTATTTACCACAGCTTCGAATTGGGAAATATCGATAGATCGCAAAACACGACACACTACTGAAACACACCCATCTCATCCGCACGCGTCACTTTGAGAGTGTGGAGCAAATCAAATTCTGGGCGCCACAAAATAGTTTTAAAACGAGGATTTTTGCCGTCGATATTTTTTGAGATGAGTGGGAAACAAAAATTTCAAGATTCGTCCCAATTTTGTCAAATTTTCGTTAGTGAAAATAATATCTGTAAACCCAAGTAGCAGTGATCGCGATAAGTTGCGATTTAATCGAAGAATGTATCGCGATTTGATAAGCGTCGATGTATTGCAATATACGTATACGTATTATCGGCTAAAAATGGCGATCCATCGCAATATTATCGAAAACAATGTGATAAATTGAAATAAAATTTCGATTGTATCAAACACGACTTCATAGGGATAAAATTGCGACAGGGTAGAGGATAACCGCTCAAATGTTGATGATTCTAGCGATTGTATCGTAAAAAAATCGCAACTTAATTTCAAATATTGCGATTTTTCCGTTTAAAATGCTATTTGGAAAGAGCGAACCAAAACCTGGTGTGAAACTATTTACACAAAGCGTTAGTGTGAGTGAAATTACATTCCGATCGAGAGATGTTCGATATAGTACTTAGGAGAACATAAATGTGGATTTTTAATGACTTTTTACTTTTTTCTGCATTCAATTTCAAGCATGGGAAACAGAGCTGTAAATAAAGCTTCTAAAATTACATTTACCTGGACACAGCAGCGGGCTGATTATTGAAATTAATAGACAAAGTGATAAGCAAAGCAGACAAAGAGATATAGGATCTATCCTATTGGTTTCAGCGGGTGGTTGCAATGTGCAAAATAGAGTAAATAATAGACTAACTAACGGCGGCCCATGAGAGACCCTATAGTTAGTCCATTATTTTCCCTCTTTGTACGCAACATCACACGTTTCAGCCAATAGGATCGTTCTCTTTTCCCTTTGTCTTCTTCGTCTATCGTTTTGTCTATCGATCTAATTAATCAGCTCGTAGATCCGGAAAGAAAAGCTGGGGATGATAGGGCTTTAGACTAACTCCAGTATCAAATCCTTAAAGACTGCGAAAATCAGGCAAGGCATTTTGTCCCCCGAGCAGGACGGATTATGTCTCCTTTATAAGGCAAGATTTCTGGACGACGCAAGAGTCAAGACACGAACCCTCTAATAGGTAATATTGTTGCAAGGAGTATGCTCTTGGCCTACCTGAATAATTGAAGGCGAAACGGCAATGTGCGTAACTCCCATCATCCATTCGCTCCTTAAATTTCAGTTAGAAACGCCTCTGAATCTTTCCTTATAACTCCAGTTCAGTATACATTGACTGAAATTATAATTAGCTGTGCTCCTGTAGTGTTCTTTCGGCGCAACGTGACCTCGGTGCTCAGCGTTTAGAGCTCGGTCAAGGGTCACCATGATTGTGCGGCGCGGCCGACAATGACTTGATAGTGATAATGAGAGGACGTCACGAAAAAGGTTAATCGCCGACAATGGGCCATTTACTTGGGACCCGACCGATCGGAAGGTGTTCCCCATCATCGAACTGATAGATGGATTATAACTATACTGCTGACTGAGCCTACGAGTGTCAGTTCTTGATACCGAACGCTCGTCAATAAAAGATGACTTTATAATTTAATGCATACATTGTCGTAGCGCTCCTAACGCTCTCCTCTGCTTTGGGCCGCGATACCAGGCAGAAGCGCCACTCCTTTTGCGAGCTTCCTATTGTAATTGATAGACAAAGCTATAGACAAAAGATACACAGGAAAATGGAGCGATTCTATTGGTTAGCGATTGCGGTGGACAAATGAGACAAGTGATAGATTAACTTACGGCAACTCATAAGAGACCCTATTGTTAATCCATCGTATTCTCCCCAGTCTATAAGAGCCACCCCTTTCAACCCATATAGGATACCCTCATTTTCCCTTTGTCCTCTTTGTCTATCGATTTCTGTAATTAGCTCGCTGAACGACTCGCACATAAAGGCTGGTCTCAGTTTTTTTCGTTTATTCTATTGAAGTAAGATAGTTCCTGGAGTCTGAAACAGTATTTTTTCGTTTTCCCATTTCTTGTATCCTGTTCATATTAATTAAGGCATTTTTAATTAGTTTGTTGTGAACTTCTAATATAAGAATTATACACAATGTCTATACATTATAAATAAGGTTGAGTTTGCGATGGAGTCTCCTAATAAATCTTCTTCGTTTTTGTTTCAGAACTCTTTGCCACTGTTTGCAAGACTGGGAGAGAAAGAAGATGACTTTGGTGAGCGGGGCGGTTTGAGACGCCGAGACTGGGTCAAAGTTTCCGTGACCACACCGCAGTTCATCAGGGTGCCCATGGGTGCCCGCGTTGAACTTCACTGTGATGTCATGGGGAGCCCCCCTCCAAGTGTACAATGGAATCGAGGACTTCAAACCCTCCAAGAGGTTAGTTCCCGTTTTTCAAAATTTGCGGAGAGAGATTATACCACTTTGTAGATCGTTCTTTCTAACCATGGCACGTCATATTTGAGGTTCCAATTATTGCAGATAGATAATATTTGCACTCAAAAATCTTAGAGTCCCCTGTTCATAGGATCGTACTCATAGTCGTTCCTTAGACCATAGTCATAGTCGTTAGTGGCGTGAATGATCGATTATCGATATTTCCTCATTTGTAGCTATGGTAAAGAATCGATTATTCTCCGTGAACACCCTGTTTATCGATCCTTTTCCATGAGTTTAAATGACAGATGAATCGATATATCGCAAAGCAGCGCCTTGGACAGTTCCTTTCCTTTTGAGGGCCCGAGGGCCCTGTGCGATTTATATTGTGATTATGTGATTATGCATATGGGAGATTTCAGGAGAGTCTTAAGAAATCGTGAAAAGGAAATATTTTACGTGCCATGAGTGGAATAAGACAGTTTGTATTTAGGAATAGATTCGTGTAAAGGATTACAATGATTTGCTACCATAAAAAAAAGAGAGAAAAAAAAGCGCCCTATGTCAGAAGCGCAACTGAAGCGTGATTGAACTACATTTTGCATCTGGCTCGCCTGTAAAGGCACCTATCTTCATCATCGAAAACCAATGGCACATACGCTGTTTCTAAAATGAACCAGAAACAGTAGTTCTGAGTGTATATTTTGTGTGCAATGCATTCGACCATCCATAACAGTTCGACCAATAGTTTTTCAAGAAAGTCCTTTAAAAAAAAGGTCGTTCACAATCGGGGTGACAGAAAATTTCTGAAACCCTAGTATGAAACCCGATGAAAGTTCCAACCTTAGAATAATCCTTAAGTTGAACATCACTTTAAATGACAATCGCAGAGCCGTGTAGGCAGGCCCGCCACAAGGGGGGGGGAGATACTGGGCCCCTGGTTCCGGGGCCCGTGCAGCGGGTGAAAAACCACTACGATTTCACATGTAACCCTTATCTCGTAAGGAAAAGTGAAAAATTTACCCTAAAAATTTCGCAAAAGGTGAATAAATTTTCAAAAACATGCTGGGGCACTAAGGAACTCTCCTTACTTTTTTGAAGATTTCTATCTGTTTTCAAGATTTTTAGTATAAATTGATATTTTTAGTAACTGCGTTCCATTTTCTTCCGTCGTCGGATGCTACGAGTCTCCAGTCTCGGCATCCGCGACTTCAATGGCTCAACTTCCTTGCCATAGACGTATGAAAGAGGAGCCCAGGGAGGCTTCGACGCCCCTAGAATTGAAAATAGTATCATCTACCCCCCTCCCTTGCCGAAAAAAATTTCCAAGTGTTTTGAATGCAACACTTCTAAAGTATTTTGTGCTAAAAGTAAAAAAAAAAAGACGTAATTAATCTGCAGAAACTGATGGAAATTCTCCGTCATGGGAGCTTCAAAATGCGTCCAAGTAGATCTAAAATTTTAAAAGTTTCCCGGGAGAGGCCCCCGGGCCCCCTCTGTGCTGGGGGCCCGGGCCTTAAAACTGGTACCAGGGCCCGAGATAGGATGTGGCGGGCCTGCGTGTAGGATACCCATTCAAGTTCTGGAGAAGCTCTCAATTTCCTCGTCGAACGAATCCCAATCGGAAATTTGACCTTGGGCAGATCGGAATAATATTGTGGCAACCTTAGCGAGATTGTGAGCATATTTTAACAGTAAGGTTGGCCTGAGAATCTTGTTACAATATGCCATCAATACTGGATATATAACCTTAGTATTTTAATATTGCACCAATATTAGCAACATTAGAAATCCAACGTCAGATGGTGCTCGGTGATTCCAAGATTGTCACAATGTTGTCACAATATTGGTTGTACAATATTGGTAAACTAATACTGTCGTAGAGTTATGTATTCAATATTGCAGTTATATGTTAGTTTTAACATTGGCGCATTATTAAAAAAAAATACTGAACATAGGCTTCTGCTTATAATATTGACACAATATTGACACAATATTAGGAAAACAAAATTGCTAAAATAATATCGAGACGATGTTATCTCTGTGATACTGCGGTATTGTTATTATGTTAACATTCAATTAACGTTAGAACAACAAACATAACAGGCTTCTGTTCGTAAAATTGTCATAATATTGACACAATATTGGATATCTAAAACTGCTGAATTGATATTATGCTAACATTATTTTTACAACATTGTGGTAATATTCGCACTTTAACATTGTCACAAGATTAAGAAAGTAAACATTTTAGGCTTCTGTTTCTAATATTGTCATAAGATTAACACAATATTGTGCGCGACGAGCACAATTCGACCGCGTTTGCTATTTCCGCCACCAGGGCGCGCTCGCCGCGGATCTGCCGTTGCGGTCCCTTTAAGGGCAAATTAAAGGACAAAAACTGCGACCTTTCACTTTTTGACGTAATAGGCACATGATCCATAGACGTCTAACCCATCTTATCGATATTCTTAGGCCAAGGGCTCAAATGGAGCTTTTTGGCAACGGTCCGCGCGGGGCCGCCCCGTCAATGGGGCTGGTTCTCGTTTCGCCTGGGCAGTGCCCGTTATAAGTGGGATCCAAGTTGAATATTTCAGTCAGTGCAAGCAGCCAAGGAAGTAGCTGACTTAGGAAGGTTCCTCGGCACTCCAATGTTCCGTATGCCTACATTATAGGCATTGCGACGCTAAGAAATTACTTCCGCGAGGACGGCAGGTAATACGGCGTTCGCCTACCTTGCCTCAGAGGGAAGATTGGAAATCCAAGCTTGTCTCAGAGGTAAAATAAATATCCTGCCAATACTATGGCAATATTTTAACATCAAGACTATGGCAACATCATGATCAGAATAACCGCTGAACAAGCTTGGAGCAATATTATTAACATAACATTGTCACAATATTGAATATCCAAGTTTGTCTCGGAAGTAAAATAATGTCCCACCAATATTGTGGCAATATTGTCAGGATAGGCTTGGAGCAGTCTTACAAACCTAACCTTGGCACAATCTTTGGGCTCAAGCTTGTCCCAGAGGTAAAATAAATGTCCTGCTAACATTGTGGGAACATTAGCAAGATAAGCTTGGCAACTCTATTCAAATGTGAAAAAATGTCATACTAAGCTTGTACCAAGGTCAAATTTCCGATTGGGAAGTTATTCTAGGCCGGAGGATTCCGTCATTATGTTGAACAAGTTCTCGGAAATCTGTCTCTGAGCCGGGAGGATTCTTGATGCTTCGGGGCAACAGATTCCCCGTGAATCGGAAATAGACGCGGGGAGCACATGTCCGGGTTCCTTGGAATTCGACCCTTGAGCCATGCCGCCTAACAAGCGGTATTCCAGCAATTTGAAGGAGTTCCTTAACGCGATACACCCACGCAGAGGGCACGGAATGGCTCGGTCATGCTGCCGACTCTCACCGTAAATTAGGCGGATCTTTGAATGAGGAAACTCGTCGGCGAGGAATTTGGCAACGTGCGGTTTTCGTAATCGCGGATTGGCTCAATTAGATGCTACGGTGTAAAGAGGACATTCGGCGTTGCAACGTTGTTCCTTTAAACCTTGTTTTCTAGCAGCGTTGACTGTAAAAAAATAGGTTAAAAAAACTCGTAAACTTCAAAACGGAAAAAACTCGCATAAACAGTGAAAATAACCGAGTCAGGGAACCCTTTCTGTTCTTTATACGTTAAAATGTCAAATTGTATTTTTAAAATTTTTCAGTCACTTATTATTGCAAATTTTAACACAAATTTTACATTTTTACATATAATGCCAGTTTTTTATGTTACATAAATTTTACTTCATTATATTATATGTATGGCATCAATATGAGTGATTTTAAGAATTCCATAAAATTTTGAAACCAACTTTTCTCGATAACTTTTTACAACTTGAATGTATTTTGACAAGAACAGAAAAGGTTTCCTATCTCTTAAATGTTTACACATGTTTTACATTCTTTTAAAGGCAAACTTTATCAGTGAATACCACAAGAGTATACCTAAGATAATGCTTAAGTTCAGAACTTCAAAACTTTCTGGACTATAATGGCCGCACTGTTCAATTTTTAATAGTGTACACGGAGAAAAAAAAACCTCGTTTGTGGGACCCGAAGTTTAGATCATATGGATCTCTGAAGTTTTCGGATTGAGCATCTGAACACTTTAGGTCTAGCTGTCGAGGTTCGGATCACACATCTGAAACTTCAGTTCTTACATCTGAAACTTCAGTTCTTACATCTGAAATACTTCAGATGTGAGAACCGAAGTTTTTCGGATGTGAGAACCGAAATTTTTTGGATGTGAAAACCGAAGTACTTCGGATGTAAGAACTGAAGTTTCAGATGTGTGATCCAAACCTCAGCAGCTGGACCTAAGTGTTCAGATGCTCAATCCAAGAACTTCAGCTAGAGATCCATATGACGTAAACATCGGGTCACACGCACGAAGTTTTTTTTCGCAGTGTATGTATTCAGGTTCTCCGCTTGTTTTGTATTGTAATACAAGTTCGGTGTTCCACTATTTATTTACAATTTGACGGCGACTCCAGGGCGCGAACGTAAATAAAACCGAAGTGTCGGCGCGATAATGAAATGAGTGACCCAAACGAATAGGGCACTCATTGATCGGAAGTTATCATTCGGGGGAAGCGTGTTCGCTCAATGAACACGAGTTCCGTCTGGCGCTTAGATGAGTATCTCGAATTTTAAGACGCACTTTGTTAGCGCCACCCACTTGAAAGGTTTCTGATCTAACCATTTCGAGCGTCGGAAAAGCCTTCGACTCCGGACTTTTGACCTGAGGGTTTCCTCCCGGGCGTTTTCGGTCAAGGAGGGTCATTCTGACGTCATATTCGGTTGGAAAGTGAAAAGATGCAAATGGGTCTGCAGTGTGACGGGTCGCAAGCGAATCGAGGGATATTGTAAGAACCCACACTGGAAAAAAAACACATTTGATCTCCAGAATCTTGAGTCCAGAATCTTAAAAACTGCGACAAGAAAAAGTGCTCTTGATTCAATCAGAATCAATAGCTTAAATCATGAACCAAGCCTCTTAATTTAAACGGATTTTGTTTTGATTCTAGCAAAAATCCGATTGAATCAAGAGTATTTTTTCTTGTCGATGTTTTCAAGAGTCTAGACTCTAGCTCCAATGTGTGTGGTTTTTTTTTTTTTTCAGTGCACGTTAACAACATAGGCGTGCCTCGGTCATTTTGTTAGGGGGGCCTAGCCCCCTTACCACCGGAGGATGTTGAATACTCCCCAGTCCAGAGGGGGGCCTAGAAGCTCCCCCAGAAAATGTTTGACATTTTGAATCTATTTGGACAAATTTTGAGGTTTCCATGACGTAGATTTTCCATCAGTTTTGCGGACAAATTACGTTCATTTTTTACTCCCAGCAAAGAATACTTTCGAATTGAAAAATTCAGTAGATCCGAATTTCTTTTTCATTCTGAGGCCTCCACGGCGCAAATTTCTCATCAATTTCTGCAGAATAATTACTTTTTTTTTTTCTTTCCTTTTTTACTTTAAGCAAAACATACTGTTAAATTGTTGCATTCAATACATTTGGAAATTTTTTGAATGATTTCCTCTATTTGGACGCATTTTGAGGATTCCATGATATATTGAGATGTAAGGAGACAAAGATGAGAATTATATGTTTTGACACAAAATCGATTTTTCCTTTGTGCTGCATACGATTTAAGTCTCCACTTTAAGACACATTTTGTCTGACCCCCTCAGATCTCTCCATGTAAAAATCACAGCTACATCACATTTTTTTTAAAATTTTTGAATTTTACCATTATACTCATATTTTAATGATTTCTCTGATTGCAGCAAGGATTTGAAGAAAGCAATGACATTGGTGGAACAGGCGTGGCCAAGGTACGGTCGAAGCTGGTCATCGATTGTGTCCTGCCCCACCACCAAAGCATGCAGTACACGTGCAAAGGAATTTCTGGCTCTCAAGCTGTCATCTCGAACCCCATTACTCTCTTAGTCCAAGGTATATTTCTTTCCAATCTTGAAAAAAGCATGCATCATTAGGTTATAAAAAGCCTTACACTCTCTAAACTTAAATTGACGCAAATTTGGCAACGTTTAAAGGCTCATACGGTTTTTTTTCTTTGCTCGGTAGAACAGGAGCCCCTTCAATCAGTAGATGGGCAACATACACAACACTCCGATGCAGTTCTAATTGAATCGGTCATTAACTTAAGCGCCAGGTATGAGAATACAAGAAAAGTAGTAGAAACTGCATTAAACAATCCGTTTTAAATCGCAGATCAATTTAATGTCATCAATTAATTCGTTGTAATAATATTTTAGAGCTCTGAGATTTACAACGGGTCAATTAAGACTGTGACTACCATTTTTCTCGTAGATACATTTTTGGCTCTTCAGCCTTTTTGAGAATGACCGATTTAATTATTTTGCTGGGTGATTGCAACTTATTAGAGGCGTCGTCAGATAAGTTATCCATCGTTTACTTTCGGTTTTCAGGCGTTTCCGCGTCACTACTATCCACATGAAAACATCTGACTCTCGCAGGAGTGAGAGCACAAGCTTAGATAGGTTTTTTAATACCATCAAACCTTGTAACACTTCAATTTTTAGCCAGACAGAAATCACAACACCATAAAAGTCGCGGATCATAATTGAACCACATTTTGCAGTTAGGAACTATAAATTCCGGCCCGTTTAAAAACAACGTATGTGCCATTAGAGTCCCTATGCACATAAGTGTTTTTTCAGATGAGCACGAATTTATAGGTCCAAATTGCAAAATGCAGTTCAATTAATGAGTAGTTTTATTACGGTACGATCATGCGAGACGGATGTTCACAAGATGAATAGTAGCGAACGGCGGTCTGTGCAGAGGCCTATAAAGTAGTCGTCTGCGCTTGCAAACCGAAAGAAAACAAAGGCCCACTCATCTGACGACACCTCTACAACCTGCAGTACGTGGGATATTCTGCCGTGATAGCGAAGAGAGCCGTAAGTGCAAAAATGAAGCTCTGAGCAAACGGGCTCAGAAGCTTCTGACCGGAACATTTTATTGAAAAACGCCTCCGTTCTTTGTCAAATTGCCACTAATCGTCCGGAAGACTCCTAGAAATCGTATGGATGATTAAAAATCGACCGATTTTATTTTCATTACATAAAAAGGGTATTTTTCATTTTCCTGCTAGGTTATTGTTAGGCAAGACAGCCGTAAGTGCTATCTTCTGCATGCTTTCGTGGTTGCATTTTGGACGCACAACAAACATATTTTTAGGTTAAAAATTGGCAGAAGAGGGCAGCACTTTACTGGAAAGCACTGTTTTCATTGGCTCTCATGCACCTGCGGCTGTCTTGAAAAAAAAACTATGTCATTTTTTGTGCACTTACGGCTTTCTCATACGTCTCGTTTTCATTAAAGTAGGGTGAATTTTGCTGTTTTAGCTGTCTCAGTAATTTCATTTGAAAAAGTTTAGATGAATTTTGAATAAAACTGGATTTCGAAAATTTTGCACTTACGGCTCTCTTCGCAATCACGGAAGTAACCTACTAAACTGGCTTTTTTGTGCGTATATTTTCAATAATTTAGCTGAATTTACTAACGGATGCCTCTGGTGTGTTCAGGTGGTAACTCGACCAGCCTGGGTTCAGAGCGCTGCCGCGCTGGCGGCATCAAAGTTCCGCGGATCAACTCATGGAGCCCGATCATCATGGAAACGATGGGAACGAATATTGCCCTGCCCTGCTTCGCTGAAGGCAACCCAAGACCCACCGTCTACTGGCTCGACAAAAAGAACGAACCCATCGACGAATCTTCGGACTCTAGATTCAAAGTGAGTATCTTCGGAAGCTACGCAAGAAAAACTTTGAGTGGGAGGGCCCATTTATCCTTCACGAGGGTCTAACTGTCTTGGGGATTCAAACTTTTCGGAGGAGTGATGAGAGCACTGGAAAAGAAAACACATTGGATCTAGAGTCCAGACTCTTAAAAACATCGACAAGAAAAAATACTCTTGATTCAATCGGATTTTTGCTTAAATCAAGAACCAAGCCTCTTAATTTGAGCGGATTTCCTTTTGATTTAAGC